AACTGTTTCCCTGTATCACAGCTCATCAGTGTGGCTAGACATCCAATTGATTCAAGTCGGGATCGAAACCCGACCGATTTGGAATCATTCAGATGTTCTACCCCAAGCTATCGTCACACGTCAAGGGAAAATTTTACAGTAGGAAAATTCTTATATATATATATATATATATATATATATATATATATATATATATATATATATATATATATATATATATATATATATATATATATATACACATATATATATATATATATATATATATATATATATATATATATATATATTCGTATCATGCCAGATGATGCATTGTTGGCATATCTGGTTTTAAAGTGTTCAGTTCAAATTCGGTTACGCGGCCTTTTAGGTGATGAATTATTTCAACCCTAAATCCCTGTTCTCACAGACACAACGCCGCACGCCTCTCACTACACTATCAATATTTTCACAGCAAATATTCTGAGGGGATACATTCATTATTTCAACCAGTTCAGAACTTTAGAGGTAGGAGTCTTCATGCCACGCACACAGGGTCGAATCATTTTCATTCCCTTTCGTATTCCATTAGTTAAGAGCCAGATCCACTGTAACAACTTCTTCCCTAACCTCTAACATGATTTAACTTATATTACATCTTACAGAAAATTAACTACAAAAGTAGTGTAATGATAAATAACGGAACGAAGGCGCAATAGCGAAAGATGTCTTCCAGAAACTAAGTAAAATAGCAAGATATAGGAATATTTCAATAAAAAGTTATATATAGAGAATCTGAACAACATGCCCAAAATCTCGGTCACGATGACTTGTGAGTTCGTACTAGCGCAACCATCACTGGCACCCCAAAGAGTTCCGTCTACCCAATTTCACTCACAAGGATAGTTTTCGACCTGTTGTATGACTTTCAGTCACTTTCCTAAGATGTCGCATGCTGGGAACACCTCCCCAGACCGATAACAGTCTGTCTGACAATTAGACCATGGTGAACAGTCTGACTGACAAATGGACCATGGTGAACAGTCTGCCTGACAAATGGACCATGGTGAACAGTCTGCCTGATAAATGGACCATGGTGAACAGTCTGCCTGATAAATGGACCATGGTGAACAGTCTGCCTGACAAATGGACCATGGTGAGATTCGAATCCGGGTTTTGTGGCCAGAAAGTTAACGTTCTAACCAGTCGGCCACGTGCCCATTCTAGATATCGCGCTCTCTCCCACACACTCTCAGGCCAGCTCGGTATAGTTGCAGTATAAACCACAGATGGACTCTGTGGGGGTTAAACAAATACAAATTTTTCTGAACAGGCGTTTGCAACAGGGATTGGCTAGCCGACTTAGTAAACGGGCATCCTATGATACGATGGCAAGCCATTTACTCTCTCTCTCTCTCTCCCTATCTCTCTCTCTCTCTCTAGAGAGAGAGAGAGAAAAGGGTAAATTTAATAAAAACAGTGGTTGCTGCTGCTGCTATGAATGCATTACTCTACAAGTACGGATTGAGTTATCTTAGCCACTGGCGTCATTCGTATAGAAAAAAAAGGCTAACATTTCCCTTTCTCTCTGCCGTGCTCCGTCGGCGTAGAGGTAGGATCTCTGACTGATGCCAAATCGGCCGAGTTTCGATCCCGGCTTGAAGCAATCGGACGCCTAGCCACACTGAAGAGCTGTGATACAGCGAAACTGTCTGTGGATGACTATATATAGAATGACATATACGAGTGATGGACAATTTCCCTCTAGATGAAGAAAAGACTCGAATCGCTAGAAATGCGGTTCTACAGATGGATGCCCGAGATTACAATAAACAGAACATGTGAGAAAAGAGGAAGTTCTAAATTAAAATCGGAATTAGAAAAATATACTTAACATCACAAAGAGTTAACATTTCTGGGGCACATTATGAGGAAAGAGGGATTGAAAAACTTAATACTCACGGGATATATTGAGGGAAGAAAGAACAGAAGGAAATAACATATATGTAAATGGATAGCCAAAAAGGAACAAGAAGATATTGTAGAGAGTCACATGTTGCTGAGAGATAAAAGGTACAGGAATTAGTGGAGAGCTATGATCACCAACAGCCTGAAGAGATATGCCACATAAACAATGATAATGATAATGATTGAATTTTACATTAGTTAATTTATATTTGATTTTATCTATTTCTCCGTGTTTCATAAGTTCCTATATTTTACTACAATGGCCTTCATTTAATACGTATACACTGTATAACGAAATATTAACAAGGTGACAAAATTTTGAACTGTTACTTAAGTTTCACACTGACACCTGACGACCGTGGTAGTATGAAATATGAAACTAAAGTAACGGTTCGAATTTTGTCATTCTCTAAGTCGTGACTTAAGCGTAACTGTTCTGTCTTGGTAGCATAGGCATTGAGCACTGTTTGTTACTCTTTATAGAGTGGTCTGTCTTTTGGTCTTATTTTTTCTTAGTATATATTTAATTTTATCGTTTTTATTTCTTGGTTTTTGCTTTAGTGGGTGTTAGTTTTTTCTTCTGTTACGTTTTCTTTTGGCCACTCAGGAAAATGATGAATGGGAGATACCAAAATCTAACAAGTACAAAAACTTATATATTTTGGAACATGCCTTCCAACACTAAGCATAGAATTAAGAAACAGGAAAATTTCGTTAAAACAAAGAAAACAGAAATGAGATGTTATATGATATCAGCTCTTCTATATAAAGTGAATGCTGGACAATCTTATCACAGTTGATGAAGAGACTTGAAACAACAAAATGTTGTTCTACACGAGGATGCTGAGAATACCATGGACTGAACATCGACAAAGTTTTAGAAAAAATGGAAACAAAAAAAAAGACAGTTATACATCATAAAGAGACGGTTAAAATTTCTAGAACCCGTAATGAGGAAAGAGGGCCTGGAAAATGTGACACTCACGGAACGTATTGAAATCAAAGGGACAGAAGAAGGCAGTGAGTAAACTATCTAAAGAGCTTGTGTAAATGGATGGCAGAACAGGGTTTAGGAGAGATAGAAAGACAAACTTTACTAAAAGTTACAAGGGAAAGGAAATTGTGGAGAGTCATAATTGCTCATGCTCTGAAGTGACACGGTAAGAAGAAGAAGAAGAAGAAGAAGAAGAAGAAGACGACGAAGAAGAAGAAGAAGAAGAAAAAGAAGAAGATGAAGAAGAACCAAGATTTGTTGTTTTTTTTTCCTTCTTTCTACAAAGAACAAAAGAACTAATTCTTATATGATTTTGTCATTTTTGTTTATGTTCTTGAAGAATTTACATTTTGTTACATTTAAACGAGTTTTATTTATTCTTTAAGATTGTGATATTAATTACGAAACAATATAATCTGACGAAAAAAATAGGCAAAAGAAAATAAAAAAAAAGAAACAGGCAACTAACAAAAACAAAAAAAAAGATATGGAACGCAGAAACAATGACGACGAGGAATAAAACTAAAAAGTATCAGTCGAGGAGAAAATTGGGGAAAGACCATTTTATTTTTAATGCAGCCTTGAAACAATTTAATCTACATGACAGAATACGGACGTCATCGTGGAGGTAATAAGATATATCTTGAAGACATCTCTATATAATAAATACTGACTTAATATTGCCGCTTTGTTCATAATGGGAGTAAAAATAGACTGAGGACGTCAATCTGAATACATTAAAATTTACTATGAATTATATTCCTTTTTTTTTTCTTTAAAAGACGTATTTTATGCTTGACGAACTTGATTTCTTAATAAGTTAATCTTTGCCGGAATTATTATAGAAATAATAGTCCTATTCAGTCAATCTTCTTCTTCTTCGTAATGTGGACAATCATGTTTCTCCACAACTTCCTGTCCTTTGTAGCTCTTAGTAAATACTTGTTCTTGTAATTCAATTAATTACACAAGCTCGTTAGGCAGGCTGTGCATTGTTTCCTCTATCGCTCTTGCCTTCAATATGTCCTGGGAGTGTCGAATTCCCCAAACCCTCTTTCCCCATTATGTGCTACAGAAATTTCAACTGTTGTTCCTGGTTCTAGGTATAAGTGTCCTTTTTGTTTCCATTTCATCTAAAACCTCATCGTTACACATTTGTTCAGTCTTAGGTATTCTCAGCATCCTTCTGTAGAACAACATTTCTGTTGCTTCCTGTCCCCACTTCATCTGTGAGTAGATTGACCAGCATTCCCTATCGTATATGAGGATCGATATTACATGACAGTCAAGTATTCTTTTCTTCGTTTGTAATGAAGTTTTCCTGTTTCTTCATAATTTACTTAGCTTTTGGAAGGCATTACGCTATCCCAATGCTTCTTCGGATTTAAAAAAAAAAAAACCCAAAAAACTCCCAGGTATTTAAATTATTGCACTTACTGAATTTTGATGTCTCCAATTTTTAATTTGCATGTTGCGATGTTACTTTTGCTAACAATTGCATTAATTATAACCCGATTTTCAAATAATTAAATGAAACGTTAATTATCATCATTTATCCTTTTATTGTCCTTTGTTACTCAATGACGTTTACTCAGTTTCTTTTACTCTCGGTAATCACTTGCGTCTTAGTGGCTTTATCGCCTTCCCTGAGATGAAATGATTTTAAAAAGCCCAGGCCCCTCATTGTAATTATAAAGGCATTTCTATAGTAAATTATGTTCAATATGTTCACAGTATCGATATAATGACCTGATTCTGTCGGTATCACTTGAATTAATTCCCGAAGACGGCACATAAATACATGGTTGGTTGTTTTTGTTTAACCGCCTATCAATCTCTGTTGGTTATTTCATGCAATTTTATTTTTTTTTTGGGGGATAATAACGGTTTAGTGATACAAGTTCTACTAACTGACCCATAGCCGGGAGATGTATAGTCATACTTTTTTCCAATGATATTTGCGCGTAACTGAATATAACGAACCCAAGTGGAATTCGGACTCGGCTCTTCGGTTAACATTTCCGAGTCATAAATCCATTATACCACCTGCACATCCAAGCTTACAGTACCTGGTAATCCCAAGCGGTTATCTCTCTAGTACCTGACGAGGCTCGACGTTGCTTAACTTCGGTGATCGTACGGTAACCGATGTTACAACGTGATGTGGCCGTAATTTGGCAATTCAATAGTAAAATCCTTATGGTAGTATTATTTCTTATATATGTGTTCCCAAACCAATGTACTCCGAAAAATTGTTGGATGGTTTTTTAAAAAAATAATAGGGAATTTATATAATAGTGATATAATGGAATATGCGTACACCTGTGTTCCCCCTCACTGGAATATGATTGGCTGGTGTCCGTCATAAATACCGACGGACGTGTAGGATAGTCAGAGTCTTAGTCTGAGAGCTATAACGACGCCCATTGGACTACGCCATTGATCTACACTTCTTACCTGCGACTACGACGCATACTAGTCGATTACTCCTACCGTATTATACTTGGTTATAATAACCAAAAAACACTTAGCTACTTCGTTCAAATTCCGGAACATATCAAATAGCATAAATTAGAAATAAATAAAAAATATTAATATTTACATTCTTCTTCTTATGTTCCGTATCTCTTCAGGATGTTGACGATCATGACTCTCCACAATTTCTTGTCCTTTATAACTTTTAATAAATGTTACCTTTTTATTATCTCTCCTAAACCTTGCCTCCCATCCCTTTACTCAGTCTCTCTAAGTAGATTATTTACATTATTCGGACTATTGTCCTCATCTTTGTCGCCATATTTATCACAACGTTTCGGCCGTTGTACGCTCCGGTCTTCTTCAGGTGGTTGGAATGTTGAACTGAACTCTTTATTTCGCTCACTGGGGTAGATGTTTGATGGATGTCAGTTATCAGTTATCTCATGTTAATTTCCCTCTGAAAGTTCTCCACTGCCTTAACCGGGTATTGAACTCACACTCTTTGGATCCTTTATCCACTGTGCCATGCGTCCTTGATGGTATGAATTTCTGGGTATTATAAACCTAATGTCTTCAGCTCCATTTTTTTAGTGCTCATATTGCAATTTTGCTGTTATCAATTCATGTTTTTACCAGAGCTCATATTGCAACTATGTTGTTATCATTGCTTTTCTCTGGCACTCCTTATTACTGGTTCCCATATTGTATTTATTTCTATGCTTGGTCGGCTCAGGAGATTTTTGTGGCCTAGCATATGTGCTGATTCCTTAAGTTTACGAATTTTGCAATGGTGTTCCTTGTTCAGAGGGAAATTAACAGGAGATAACTGATACCTGACATCCATCAAACATGGCACGTGGAACTAGAACAGTCTACCCCAGTGAGCGAAATAAAGGGTTCAGTTCGACATCCCAACATACAACGGCCGAAACGTTGTGATAAATATGGCGACAAAGATGAGGACTATAGTCCGAATAATGTAAATAATTTACATAATACCTCATCTCAGAAATATAGACAGACTCTCTAAGTAGGTTATGCATTGTTTTCATCTCTCTTCCTCTTGCCTTGAAACCATCCTGTGAGTATCAAATTTTCCAAGCCTTCGTTTCTCATTATGTGCCCTAGAAATTTCAACTCTCTTTTCCTGACATTAAGTGTAAGTGTCCTTTTTGTTTGCATATTCTCTAAAATTTCGTCGTCGCTCACATGTTTAGTCCATATTATTCTCAGCATCCTTCTGTAGAATCACATTTCTGTTGCTTCAAGTATCTTCTTCCTTTACGGGGGGCGGTGTCCAGCATTCACTGCCATACAGGAGGACTAATATTTCAGTTCTCTTTGTTTCTAACGAAATTTTTCCTTATAAGGTGTTGAAACTTGAATAAAGCATAGAATAATAATAATACAACACAAAATGTACTTAAACAAAATGTATTGACACAAGAACGTGTACACAATATTTACAGATAGTTTGGTATATTCTTGGGAAGACCGTTCCTGTAGAATGGGTTGACTTAGTCGCAGTCGGGCAGAGTGTCTGGATTGGATCTCTTCTTCCTCCCCCGTCTTCCCAGTACCAACCATATTTATATGGTCGGTACTCCACTATGTAAATTAGGTGGATCGTACCACAACATAAGGAAACATTTGCCGAGAGCCAGTACAACTGTCAGTTGAAAAATTAATTTTTCGGCGAAATAGATTTCTGAAGTCCACTAACTGTTATTGCTCTTTCCAGCATTGGTGAGGGTTTCCTTTATAAGCTTTTTTTATGGAAAGTTAATATCTTATGCTATTATTTTCTCTTTCAGTTATATGTGCTATCCATTTTAGTTGTTGCCGTTGTTGCTAGCCCTCAAGTCATATTGCTTCTGTTATTTGGTACAGTTCTTTGTTTGTGATTCTGTAGCCTCAGTTCACAATGTTCAAAGAAGAATGATCTTCACGAAAAGACTCAGGCTTTACTCACTTATGATTTCTTAGGAAAGACAGTAGAGTTGTTTCCAGTTACATTTTCCGCAGTTTTGAATTCAGAATTTTCTTTCTCTTAGACTGGTTGCCTCCCAAGGCTAGAGAGCCTAGTCTACTCTGTTATTTAGTGCGAAACTGAACACAACGGACTATCCCGGGATTTGAAGTCGGCTCACCGATTCCACTTTCCGTGCCAACGAGCATTACTCATCCTGAGCATTATGCAATGTTACTTAAGTACAATGCTTAGTTGATAAAGATGAAAATAGGTTGTCGTTTCTTTCTGCAGTAGACTTGTTGCCGACTCTTTCCTACAACCTAAAGCTGTTGGAGAAGAGTTGGATTCATAACTCTCCCAAGGGTATTTGCGAATGTAACTAACCCGGTTGAAAGTCCTCATTCCGAGCCGATATGCATTACACCACGACACACATCCACCAGTGAACATTAGTATAAAAGAAAATGATAATGAAATCAATGATTGTTCTCGAACAGATGAGTGATTTTTCGACAATTTAATGCCAGATTTTCTGGCTGAATTTCTACGATGAGGAGCTAACATTGTTTACACTATTTACATTCTAATTATTGTCCTCATCTCTTTTTTTTAATATATAGATAAATTCAAACCCGACCTCAAGTGGTACATGAGATCCATTGCTAAGGATGCAGGTAAAATGACCGACTCTTTGGACTGCTCTAGTAATTACCTGACTCTTCCGGCTATTCTTTGCCTTTACAAGAGCCAGATCAGTCCAAAAAATGGACTACTTTTGTCATATTTGAGCAGGAGATGGCATGACCTCACTCACCAGCCAGTTCAAATGCGTCTCCGAACCCTTGTGGGTGACGAATTATTCTCCACCCTACAACCCTTCTGCCAAAAGGGGGATGTGACAAGCCTCTCGCTCTCTACCCATACTTCCATTGAAAGTGCTTGGACGAACAACATTCTCTGGTCCCGCTGAGGCAAACCTTCACAGCAAGAACACGCCATGCCACTTCCATAGTATCAAACCATCCACATTCCCTCCATATTCCATCGGTAGGAAGTAAGTTCCACTTGAGCAGCAGCTTCTCGCGAACCACTCCCCTATGGAATCGACTAACAGGATATTTCCCCGATCACTAATCTTAACCTATTCAAGGCTAGGGTTAATCGTTATCTTCCACTCTTATACACACAAATGGCCACCTAACGTAACCCTCTACTTCGAGTCACCCCCCCCCGGACTTGTAAAGGGTGACCTTCACTGACAACAAATGCAAAAAAAGATATACCGTTCCTACAGATTAAAGCCTTCTGCGTGTACAGTCGGTTGAAATATAGATTTCTAAGACAATTCGCAATGTCTACGTGAGCGAAGATCGGCAGGTCATTGGTGAATAAATTAAACATTCACACTCAAATATTCACTCTTGAATAAAGAAGGTGTAAAAAAACGCCCTCGCCTTTATAATAGCGATTTTCTAAGCGTAGTTTAGATGTGACACAAGGCCGAAAGTATGGGGTACCTAGTGAGGGGCACACTCACTATTCAATCCTAATTGTTCTAGCGAGACATGCTTGCTAATCATTACACGTCGAGGTGCCCTACAAAAGATTTTGTAAGCGTAGCTTAGATGCGGCACGAGGCCGAAATTGAGAGGAACCCCCATGCCTTTATAATATTGAGTTAATAGACAGTATAGGAAAAGAATTAGCATAGGTCAAGCATACCATTTATTGTTTTCAGAAATAATACACAACATAAAAAAAACTTTTTTACCTTTTGTGAATATTCTCTTAAATATAGAACAATGAAAGTTCCACTTTTCTAAGTCTGGCCTGTTGGTCTCTGAAGGAAGGAACAGACGGTTGCATGTTGTCTGTTCACTTCTTGGGGCGAAAAGAGGCCACGAGCCCGAAATCTTCAACTAAGGCAGTAGAGAGAGACGGAGTTGGTCCTTTCGACCAATCCGGAACTTCCACACATGTAAGGTTCGGCAGAGCCTTAGATCCTACCGCTATAGTCTGTGTTCTGACCAGCACGTGAGTGTGTGTTAACGTATGTGTGTGTGCATGTAATGTTAACTCATACATCTTTATCACACAAAATATAATTGACTGAAGCCAGTGACCTGATAAATATGCCATGTAACAATGATAAATATTTTTCGAGATGGGCGTCATTTACTGCGCAGCTTTTACTTAACTGTGCGAATGAACGATTAGCTGAGGTCGTAGATGTTTTTATATAATGATCTATAAATAAACAGTCGAGATGATTGTCGTGGGTGAGCAGTTGGGTGACGCAAGATCCGTTTTCATCAATTCATTTACATAATCTTCTTTCTTTCTTTTTTCACCTCTTTACTTATCAACCGCTTTCCGACTCCCTACCCACTTCTTTCCATTTCATTTAACAATTCATTATGTTTTTCTTTCTTTACTTATTATTTATCTATTTCCCTTTCCTGTCTTTATCTCACCTCTCACCTCTCACCTCTTTATCTCCACTAATTTCCTCTTTCCCTCTCTCCTTGCAATAAATCTACTTCTTTCTTTCTTTCTTTCTTTTTCTTTCCCCTATTTCCCCCTTTCCCTTTTCCCCTTGCAATTCAGCTTACCTTCTTTCTTATTTATTTATCTCACCTCTCTCCTTACCAACCTCTTTCGCTTTATTCCCTCTCCCTCTTTCCCAATCTCTTTATAATGTTTACACCCCTCTCTTAAATGATTGTTTCTTGCACCATCAGCTACTGTTTAAACGTTCAATTCGATTTGACAAGTCACATGACCGTTTCATTAGCAAAACTAATTGTTTTACGCGCAGCGGCACACACACACACACACATACACACACACGCATTTATGCAAATATATGAATACACATGTATAGGAACTAATGTATATAGATATTATATAAGAATAATTTTAGGACAGAAACACATACACCCAAAGACTAAAGTGGGATGCTGAAAAGAAGGACTTCATCCCAAAATTCTGATGTTTAGTTATTAGGTAAGATTTGGGGAAGTCAGTAGGGTCAAAAAAATTTCAGCACACCTCATATATATATATATATATATATATATGTGTGTGTGTGTGTGTGTGTGTGTGTGTTATAAAAATATAGTTTTAAGCTACGCTATATTTATGGGTAATTTAAGGGATAGAGCATATCTATATATATAAAGTTGTAGCCTCTGTCTCTGTTGTCGAACTACTACAAGGATTTAGGAGATAGACCTCCAATACCATACATATTCTGAAATTACATTACCTAAGGTACTTGGATAAGTATATTTCATTTTGATCAAAGGTGGTCCCCGTGTGACACAAACCCCCACTGATTTTTTCCGCTTTGATATAAATTAAATGAATGACTCCTAGGGTACTTAGATAAGTATATGTCATTTGTAAGAAAGGAATGACACCTATCCAAAATATAGAATGAGAAATCCAGAAGATGGAGGTCACGTTGACTCGACTATTTATACATGCTGGTCTATTATATTACCTTACGGTAGGAGGCAAGAGGCCAGGTTTCAAATTATTCTAAAGGTTATTGAGTACAAATAACTGTGGATCCGAATGCGATTATTTGTAGCTATTTTATTGTGTTGTTTGTTAACTTTTTACTTATTATTTATTATTGATTAATTAATTTTTTGTTGAATATTATTATTACATTTACTTGTATTTATGTGTACACACATAAACACAAGTAAATGTAAATAAATAACAATTTATCAAATGCATTGGTCATATATAGAAATAAATTCAACCACAACTTCTTTTTTAAAGAATGCCACACTTATTAAAAGAGAAAGTAATTTACTTAAGACGGAAAATTATTGAGAGTGCCGCTATCGTATCTTACCAAAATATAAATTTCCCCCCCAGATTTTTCAAATATCTTCGTTTCTGAAAGATTGTCTGGCATTCATACAAGAGGATCGATATGAAAGCATGTCAGCGCTCTTTGTTTCTAACGAAAATTTCCTGATTTTTAATACTTTGTTTGGCTTTTGAAACGCATCTTTCACTGATCCAATCCATGTTCGGATTTTTATTCCTTATTTTCCCCCACAGTTAAAACATTTTCCATATATTTAAACTTCAGCACTTGTTTGATGTTGACAACTTTAATTTGTAGTTTGAAACTTGGGCTTTTTTCTTACTGACAACCACACTTCCTGTCTTCTTACAAGTGAGAGTCCTTTCTGCTCGCTTTCCTTTGCTACCTTGTCTAAGAGGTTCTACAGCTCTCCAACCCCGTGTCTGCCATCAACACAGTGTTATCTGCATATCTTATATTGTTATACGCCCACTGATCATAAATACTGGTAGGGTCTCCAGATCCCTTAGCATCACTACAAAAGTTGATCAAATCTAGAAAGAAGACACCTCCTTGTTTTATGCACCTTTCTATTTTTTGTATAGCAACTCATTTTCTACCCACATGCAAGCAGTTTTTTCCCAGTATGATCTGAATTATTTCCACATCCTTTCCAAATAGATCGAGTTTTCCTAACAGCGCGTAATCTATAAAGCATAAATGCACCTCCCTCTACATTTGTATGGCTCCCTCTGATATTATTCTAATCATAAATATAACATTTCTTCTTCCCGTGTCCTTGACAAAGCTCCACTGTTCTTGTTCTATTTCCACACTAATTCTTCTTGACGCTCTATTCATCAAAATTCGGATTATTAACTTGGTTATGTGGTTCATTAAACTGCTTGTCAGATGGAGTTCGCATTGATTTGCCTCTGGTTCCTTAGGTAATGTCACGAAGATGGATCGTCTGAGGTCGTATATTTCGTTAATTATCTTCGTGATCTTGTCGGTGTCGAAAACGCCTAACACTGAAATCATTTCTGTTACGATCCCATCTGGTGTTGGTGATTTGTTCCTGTTCATTTTGTTCAGTGTCGATCTTATCTCAAACTTTAATATCCCCGGCCCTTCCATTCGTTGTAATACAGTCGTTTGTATATTTTTATTTTACTGTTTTTTTTTTTTTTTTTGTTAATATATGTGTTGTCAAATTCTCTTGATGCTTCAATGTTTAAGATGCGTTCTGTGTGTGTGTGTTGTTTTGAATACTGGTAGGAGCGTTTATTCCGAGCTTCCCGTAGTGAACGCGACTGAATTTCAAGTGACACACACACACACACACACACACACACACACACACACACACATATATATATATATATATATTTAAACTATTTAAACTATATATATATATATATATATATATATATATATATATATATATATAAACTACTTCCTGCGGAGGGCTCTTGATTGGTCTTTCGGCTTGTTCATGAGTTTGAGAGTCCTTGCATATTCTCAGTATTAGAAGCTTTTCTGTCTGCCGTTTGATCGAAGTTCATTTCTTTTCCTCACTGCAGCTATGGCTCTTTTGGTTGCAATCTGGTCCTCTGTTGGCGAAGATTTCTTTTTGTGGGGCATAATGCTACCGTATGCGATAGGCAGCAATAAACTACAGAACTCAAAATTGATCACTGCACTTAATTATTGCATTAATATTTAAGCTTACCTTTTAAAGGTTCAACGCTAATCCTTCTGTCGCCACTTAATTTAAAGACAATTGGATGTATGTAGGTCCTTACTTTCCGTACAAACAATTATTTTTTTCATCGGTGACTTTAACAGGTTTTCGTAATTATTTTCGATTATTCCCAAATTCATTTCCAAATTATAAAAATTGTTATCGTACAAAAATCACGTCAAAAAATCTCCGAAAACTATTGCAGCATTGAAAACTGAAATTTCTGTAACACGATCCATTGAAAGTTAGTGAGTTGTGACATTGATTGAAAAAGCGTAACACAGTGACATTCGCATTATATATATATATATTTATATATATATAGTTTTACCCATCCAATACATATCGATATTAGACAGTTAAAAGACTGTGTTGAGTTAATTCCTCCAACTGAGCGAACCTGTTTGTTTTCATAAATTCACATGATAGCCTTTAACTAGACTTGAACAGCGACTGCAGTCACCTGAGTGCAATACACGGTCATCTCAGCCACCAAGCCTACACAGATATCAGATTCAGACATGTTTCATTAACTGCGAAAGACTAAAAATAGAATAATTTATTGCCCTATTTCTAAATTACAAAAACTGCACCCAGAATTGATTTGATGGTTATCGTCGTAATCCTAATTAGTAGAGGTCATCGTCGTGATTATAATTGTAGATTCAGATGCTTCCTGAGTTAATTTTCGTTGCCATTCGTGTCACAAGCACAACTGCTGTTATCATTAATATAATTATATTTACTATAAATGTGCATTATGTGTGTTTAATGTTAACATTGTTTCTGGTTAAAATGGTAAGAAAGAAGTTTCAGTTGCTATTGCATTGTTCGTTTTTACGTTGAAGTCATTACTCGACTAACAATTGCTTCTGTTGCACTTGTCCGGGTGGATGCAATTTTCAGGTCAATTAACACATACAAAGAGGTTTCGTCAATTTCTATTTTATTTCTTTATATTATATACTCTTTAACTGCCTCCTCCTCATCTGCCGTTCTTTTCAATGCTCTTCTTCTTCTTCTTTATTTCTATCTTTCTTTTCTTTTCTTTCTTTCTGTCTTTATTTTTTTTCCAACGGTCTTTTTAGATTTAATTTTCCTCTCTTCTTCTACTTTTATTGTTCCTTGCTCTTCATATTCTTCTATCTTCCTTTGTTCCTTGCTTGCTTTCATTCTTACTTCCTTTCTTTCTTTTTTTATTTTTTTCCGTTGTCTTTTTATATTTGATTTTCATCCTCTTCTTCCTTCCTATTTATTTTCTTCCTCTCATTTCTCATCTCTTTCTTTTTCCTGGTTTTCTCTCTTTTTCTTTTTCTTCGCTTTTTTCTTTTTTTTCTTTTGCTTACTTTCTTATCTATATTTCTTCTTCTTGTGTCTCTCTTTTTACTCTTTTCATTCTTATGCTTTCTTTCACCTTATATAGCTTAGATTTTGCTTCTTCTTTTTCTTCTCTATCCTTTTTTTTCTTCGTTTCCTTTCTCATCACACTTTAAAACATATTCTTCTTCTTTTTCTTCTTCTTCTTCTTCTTCTAAACTGTGGTTTCTTTCTTTCTTTTTCACAATTTTTTTTCCTTCTATTTTTACTCTTTACATTTTTGCTTTTTTTTCTTCATTTTCGTCCATGTAGTCCACCTCCTCCTTTTAATTATTTCTCTTTTTTATCTTTTAATTTTCCCTTTCATTTATTTTTTCTTCGATATCTCTCGTCTCTTTCATTTATTTTCAAACTTCTTTATTTTTTTCTGCGTTCTCTCCTAGTAACAGACGATATATATATATATATATATATATATATATATATATATATATATATATATATATATATATATATATGCCATCACTGACATGCCATAATCGCTAATAAAAGAGGTTATGTTCGAACACCTGGGAAAATCATTTTCCCATAAATACCATCCAATAACTATTCCATTCTATAACAATGTTTTGTATTTTGAATGGTGTTATTTTTATTGTGATTCCTGCTCTTTATTATGTGTGAATTGCCATGACTTCTCTAGAAAAAAAACGTGGAGTGATTTTTTTCCCAGTGAAACACGTATAAGTTATGATGGCACAATGTCTGACTCGTTCAGTGAGCCCGCCTACAACTTTTATTGTGTTACACCAACAAGTGCAAAAAGCATGCAATTATATATCTCATGATCTGTCTATATTTCTGAAATGGGGTATTTTAATTATTTACAGTATTTAGATTGTTCGGACTATTATCCTCATCTTTGTTGTCATATTCACGACGTTTCAGTCGTTGTACGCTCCGGCTTTCGAACCGAACCCTTTATTTTATTCACTGGGGTAGATTGTTCTAGTTACACATGCCATGCCTCTTTCAGATATTTCAATTTCAGTTATTCTTCAAGTTATTTTTTCAACTCTGCTGTGGCCAGATATTGAATTCACAACTCTTTTTGGGTCAAGTCAATGGATTATCAATGCTTTGATCCACTGTTTCCTCAAGGATTGTTACATGAGAGAACAAACCTTTTTGTAAGGGAGAGTATTTTTTAATACATTTATAATATAGGCGATTATGGTTCTCTACAAAAATCTTTTCTTTATTATTTGGTCATGACTTTTAAAGAATAGATATTTGGGTGGTTTCACATTGCCTACTCCACGTTGTTAAATTCAGCGTAGACCTTTTCTTAGACTGGCTACTACTCAAGGCTAAAAAAGAGCCTAGTCTATGCTGTTTGAGATGAAAAGAAAAAGATTCGCGCCTTTCTTAAAGGCAACAACATGAAAGTGAAAACAGCAGACGAGACTTGAACTCGGCTCGTCAATTCCATTTCCGCATTGATAACAGTTACGCAACCTGCTTATCCTTTATATTTTTCATATATGTTTTATAGGTATTTGTTTTGAATTGAACAGTCTGGTTTTTCTAAGCATATCATATCAGTAATAAAACTGATATGTTGTTCCGTTGTTTTGGGGTTTGTTTTTTTTTTTTTTTTTTTTTAATACTACCACTCTTGAGGAAAACATTCTTTTGCCTGCGAAAAATTACAAAATTAGTGTTGAGTGTCTACATTTCACTGAGATTCTATTTTAAAAGCTGTAGAAACAAAGAAGGATGTGAAACATTTATTTAAATTCAATCCTCCTCTATGGCGGTGAACACTTCACAGATGAATAGAAAGCAAAACGGCAAAAAATATAGTTCTATAGAAAAATGCTGAGAATACCATGGCATGAACATGTGAATAACAAGAAAGTTTTATTGAAACGAAACGAAATGCATGTTTTTTATTAGAATCAGAATGAGTTGAAATTGCCAGAATATATAATGACGAAAGAGAAATTTGTCGGTTATTCAATGCAATATGTAAAAAAAATGTACGAGACGCGGAAGCTAACATCGCATCGCAAATTGTGACGTCACACATGACCACGCGAGAGTGAAAACGAGAAATATTAAGTATGGGAAGCCGTTTGTATAAACCAATGATTTCAATTATAGGCATTTAAGAACATTTGTGGAGATTTCGTAGTTTATTTTGTTCAGGTTAGGTTTCAACTGTTTTATGTATATAGCTTCAAGAATTTTTAGTTTTTATTTATTGTTTTCATGCTTAAGTATAGTTGTGTTTTCAACGAGGATTTTCCGGAGTTGTTTACGCGGCCACGCATTTTGTTTTAAATGCCTAAAAATGTTAGAGTTATCATTCAAATCTAGAGTCAAGCGTCGTGAAAGCGAATTTGTGGTGTGACGCGTCACACCACAAACTCGCTTTCACGACGCTTGACTTTGAATGATAACTCTAACACATATTACTGCTACATATGGATCGGTGTTCCTGCTATAGATTTTAAGATTCTTGATAAAATCCAAATAATCAGCAATATTATTGGTCCTCACCTGGCATCTCGGCTTCAGTCATTTCCCACCACAGTAAAGTTGCTTCCCTGTGCCTTTTCTATAACTACTTTCATGGTAATTGTTCGCATGAGCTCTTCACTATGGTACCTAGATTTTATCATTTTAAGCGCAGTATTAGATTGGCAACAAGGTCTCATGATTTAATACTTTAATTTGCTAGATGTAACCGTAAGTTCTATGTTAACAGTTTCTTTTCTCGCACTTCTCTCTTGTGGAAATCTCTGCTGGCTCCACGCTATTCAGCCATCTTTGATCTTCAAAAACTTAAATGCAGTGTCATAATATTTTTTTTTATTATTATATTAAAGATATTTACAATAATTTATTTGGTTATGTCAGATATTATAATAAATGATTACTATGAAATATCTAAACGTGGGATGCAATGTGGAATACGCAAAAACCAGTAAGATGTTTCAATTGTTGCCTTTTCTTCGTTCCTATCTTTCGCTCCTCATTAGGATTCCTTACCAGCCAAGACTAGGCAGTTTAGTCTACCCTGCTATTTAATCCATAACTGCGATAGAGAAGAAATGATTTCCTGTCTTCACTGAGGGAATTAATGCGAAAGCGAACGTAACAAGGCTTGAACTTGAACCTAATTCATCGATTACACTTTCGACGCCAATAATCGTTACACATAGACACACCCCGTGGAGAACGAAATATATTATATTCACCACCGCCACTTCTATATTAACCATAATATATATATATATATATATATATATATATATATATATATATATATCCCCCTCTCTCTTTTCTTCCCTGTGATTGTTTTCTTCCTCTCTGTCTCGTTCTTATACGCGCAATCCTTTCCTGTTGCTCTTAGACGTCCTCGATGTGATTAAATCTTACAATTACAAATCAGCGCCGTTGCTCGTGCATTTAGCTTTTGATGAGGCGGCTTGCATTTCTTTGTGCCGTTGCTAATCGCAACCGGCTGAGTTCTGATGCGCTCTGCATGGATTATACAGAAACGACATCACTATTCCGTCACAAACCACCTGTCACTATCAGGTAGGTCTGCCTCTCTGTTCATACCATTCTATTTAGAGAAAGCCTAAAAATAAACATCTTATATGAACTTCGCTTGGCCTGTGACTCGAAGGCTGGGAGATGCAGACTTCGTTGTCTTATGTAGGCTAAAAATAGACAATAAAATCTAACGAGGAAATAAAAAAATAAATAACTGGTAACAAGCTCCATGTAATTTTTTATCATCACCCTCTCTCTCTCTCTCTCTCCCCTCTCTATCTCTCTCCTTCTCTTTCTCCCTCTCTCTCTTATTCATTGTCGTCTATCTGGCCTTTATATACCACGCATAGAACGTTTGTCTTTTTATCTTCTCTTTATCAACACTATTTCCTTTTCTTAGCTTTTTTTCCTCTCTCCCCTTCCTTTACAACTTCTGTCTCTATCTCTTCCTCTGACTCCTTTTTATCTTTTTCTTTCTTTTATCATCACCTTCTCCCTCTTTTCTTTCTTCTTTCTTTACCTTCTTTATTCGTCTCTTCCATTCTATAACAATGTTTTGTATTTTGAATGGTGTTATTTTTATTGCTCTTTATTATGTGTGAATTGCCATGACTTCTCTAGAAAAAAAAAGTGTAGTGATTTTTTTCCCAGTGAAACACGTATAAGTTATGATGGCACAATGTCTGACTCGTTCAGTGAGCCCGCCTACAACTTTTATTGTGTTACACCAACAAGTGCAAAAAGCATGCAATAATATATCTCATGATCTGTCTATATTTCTGAAATGGGGTATTTTAATTATTTACAGTATTTAGATTGTTCGGACTATTATCCTCATCTTTGTTGTCATATTCACGACGTTTCAATCGTTGTACGCTCCGGCTTTCGAACCGAACCCTTTATTTTATTCACTGGGGTAGACTGTTCTAGTTACACCTGCCATGCCTCTTTCAGATATTTCAGTTTCAGTTATTCATCAAGTTATTTTTTTCAACTCTGCTCTGGCCAGATATTGAACTCACAACTCTTTTGGGGTCAAGTCAATGGATTATCAATGCTTTGATCCTCTGTTTCCTCAAGGATTGTTACATGAGAGAACAAACCTTTTTGTAAGGGAGAGTATTTTTTGATACATTTATAATATAGGCGATTATGGTTCTCTACAAAAAACCTTATTTATTCGTCTCTTCCGCCGCCGCCTCCTTCTTTTCACTTCCTTCTTTTATTTCGTCTTTATTTCGTTTTTCTTTACGCCGTTTCTCGTTCGATCCCCGAAGTTAAGCAACGTCGAGCCGAGCCCGGTCACTACTTAAATGTGGTACAGCTTGGGAACATTGGGTACTGCAAGTAATTTTTTTACAATCCGAAATATTTTTTCAGCTTAAAATACCCCTCCCCCCACAAAAAAGGTTGATATACCGTAAAAATCAAATCAACAAAACCAATCATTTTCTTTCTTTTATCAATAACCACTTTCCTTTCATTTGTCACATTTATCTTTATTCCACTCTTTCTTCTACTTTTGATCTTGTTTTTTCTTTCTTTCTTTTGTCACTATCCACTCCTTCTTTTCTTTGTTACTCTTTATGTTCTTTATTTCCCTCTCCCTCCGTCTCCTTCTTTTTCTTTCTTTTTCTTTTTCTTTCTTTTTATTATCACCTTCTCCTTCTTTTCTTTCTTCCCCTTTATCTTTCTTATCTCTCTATTCTTTAACGTCCTTCTTTTCGCCTTCCTCTTTTTTTATCTTCTTTTTCTTTCTCTTCTCATTATTCTCACCATCATTTTTTGTTGCGTCTTATCTTCTTTATAACAGCTTTTTCTCCGATTCCCTCATTTTTTTCTTTTTTATCTTCTTCCTTTTTCTATTTTCTTTCTTTCTTTCTTTCATACACTCTCTCTCTCTCTCTCTCTCTCTCTCTCTCTCTTCTTTATCCAATTTGTCCTCCTCATGTTTGTCTTCTTTATTTTTCTTCTCCATCTTCACTTTCTTTTCTTTTATTACTTTTGCTGCTCGATTTTTATGAACCTTCATGTGTAAGTTTACTGGAATATTGAATAAATGTGTTTATTCCTGGTGCGGCATAAATATTTACCCATTATTTAAACATAAAAATTATCCACTATTTAATCATAAATTGAAACATATTTGTAAAAAGTAGTTTCAAAAGTTTCATAAGGATTTATAAAATTATCTTTTATTGTTTACAATTAATCAAATATGGCGGATCAACTAAAACAGGATCAAATTGACGCATTGTATATGGCTGGTACTAAGGATTGTTAAGTGATAAAACAGTTGAATTTCTGCTGTTTTTAAAGTGTTTTAAGGGGTGCAAGCAACCTCACCAAATAAAGTTCCAGAAAGAAACCGTCTAGTTTGTACCAGGATTATTATTGATGCCGTCAAGAAGAAGGCTTAATTTCCCCAAAAAAAAACTATTTGGAGGAAAGTATTTTATGAATTTCAACCGACAGTAATATTAAATGTTCAGTGAATGAATACCGAATGTTACCTGTATGGAAACAGTTTCCATTACCATTATAATTATCATTAACAGTCAGGTGATGACATCTGTCGTTCATATCTTTCTTTGCCAGGTAAGAAGCTAACCCCAATTAACTTTACTCTCTTCATGAGGTTATCTCTAATACTTATATTGCTTATCACCATGATTGTTCTTCGGGTTGATGGTGGAGTGGTTGCCATTCTGTTGCTTTCTCCATGGTGTTTTTATTAAATCAACAACTCCATTTAACTGGTCATTGACTCATCAAGAGTTCGTACGCCTTTTGTGGTTTAACAGACGTTGGAGAATGCGACAATGAAATCCGAAGGTGCATTTGAATAACAAAGACCCCTTCCCAAAAATAAGCAGATAAAAAGAAACAGGAAAATTTCGTTCGAAACGAAGAAATATCAATCCTATTATCTGGCAATCTCTTCACAGATGAAGAGAAGACTGGGGGCAACAGAAATATGGTTCTACAGAAGGATGCTGAGAATTCCATGGACGGTGTACATAAGAAATGATGAAGTCTTAGGGAAAATGGGAAAAAGGACACTTATAATCAAAATCAGAAAGCAACAGTTGAATTTTCTTGGACAGTTAATGTGGGAAGAGGGCTTAGAGAATTTGACACTCACAGGGCATATCGAAGTTGAAAGTGGCATAATTGATCGATTGATTAGTTTTCTACGGTTTATCAACACTTTGCAGGTTATTTAAACCAAAAAATATTTTTAGATTGTAAGAATTTTTTTGAGATAATAATGATTTAATGATACTAATTAACCCATAGCTGTGGGAAAAGAGGTGGGTTCATACTTTTCCCAAGGGTATCTGCGCATTAGTGAATATAACGAGTCCAAATGGAATTGGAATTTGGATCTCCGATTAACAATTCCGAGCCGTCATCCATTACACTACTCAAGCTTAGTCCCAAACGTTCTCCTATCGAGGTACTGATCAGATTCGACAATCCTTTACTTTGGTGATCAGATGGGAATCGGTGGTTCAGCGTGATATGGCCGTAAGTCTGCGAAACGAGCGGGGAATGAAAGTGGGCCAGCAACCGGACAAAGTGAATGAACGGCGGAACGGCGGTGTGCTAAGGCGGTTAAAACACAAAATTTACTCAGAGAGATGAAGGACAGAAGGTTGTGGATAGCCATGATCGCCCATCTCATGAAGGGACACGGCACATAGAAGAAGATTAGCAATGAAGTTTTTTGTTTCATTTAAATATAATCAGCAGTTTAAAATGTCGTTTCTTAACAGTATGCACACATACAAACACACACACACACACACACACACACACACACATATATATATATATATATATATATATATATATATTATTATTATTATTAAATTATTTGCTCTAAATTTACATTGAGCTCTCTGGATTTTATCCTCCTTAGGTTTACCCATACGGATTACCTAGTTTTTCATAAACTATATATATATATATATATATATATATATATATATATATATATATATATATATATATATATATAAAAACCTCTCATAAACGGACTAATATGGGGATGGGTGGTCCGTTAAAGCTGATGGTCTGTAGATGAGAAGGGATTATTTTTGAGTTATAAAACCACTATAACCAGTAGTTATGATCATAATGTAAATACTATAAACATGTGTATATGGCATAAATAAATATATACTTAATATAGATATATTAATAAAAAATAAAAATAATAGATTTCTCACAGTTGTTTTTCACGCATGCTCTATTGTATCGTTCTTTATATACTGTACACCCGCCTTTTTTCTTTTTTCTTTTTTTGCAATAGAAAGGCCCTCCACCGCCGCCAAGCGACCACTTTGAGAACTAATATGACTCATTCTGATAAGCCCGCAAATTCTGAAATACATCGATGACGATTGGAAAGTTTTTTTTCCTTCCAGATATCGTTTATTTTGCCTGCAGATTTTTCCGTTGCATCCGAAGTCCGTTGAAGCGGGGTCCGTAGATGAGAGGTTTGTCTTATATATATTAGGTTGGTGCAAAAATAATGACGTAATAATGTCGTTTTTTGACGTTAAAAAATACGTCAAAAACGACATTATTGCGTCATTATTTTTGGCACCAACCTAATATATATACTAATATTCACCTAATGCTAGGCCCAAAATCGACTGAAGGTAGATGGTGGCTTGGCGTTTTATTAGCGTAAGAAAAAGAAAAGGTAAGAAGTGAAGTCCTTGGGACTATACAGGAAAAACTCTAGACTTGAAGTTGACAAGATTTAATAAATGAATAACATTTCACAATTCAGTCGAGGACGTTAGCAGAGTGAAAGCAAACTTTGAAAGGAACTGGAAACCCAATTGTAAACAAGAAGCAAGGAATAAGCGTCTACTCCTGTTCAAGAGACTGGGGAGGAGTGAAAACCAGACGATAAAAGAACCTATCTACTATTGAAAGAAAAGAAAAAAATTAGTCAGAGCTCAGTCGAAAATGATAGGATGTGCCTCTCTCTCTCTCTCTCTCTCTCTCTCTCTCTCTCTCTCTCTCTCTCTCTCTCTTTCTCTCTGTGTGTGTGTGTGTGTGTGTGTGTGTGTGTGTGTGTGTGTGTGTGTGTGTGTGTAAATGCAAAGGCTACTAAAATAAAGTATGTGCTTTTGAGGGAACTCTGTGTTGATTTAGAAAGAACCGTCGAGGTAAGTCGCATTTCTGGTTTCGGCGGTGTTAGAACTCATCGGGACAAATATGGCGAGCGTACGTCAGACAAGTTTCAGTAATTGTCAACTGTTGACTGCTTCCAGGTGTCAAATCTGCCGATGTGTCTTTTTGTCCTGCTCAGTGACCTTAACCGGTTTTCAAAGAAACGTCTCGAGTACGACAGTCTTCCGCCATTTTTTTTTTTTTTTCACATTTAACAGCGGTCAATGTAACACAGACAGACGCGGTCTCAGCCTTTTCTCCAGACTTTATTAAGAAAAGGTCAACAGTATTCACCAGGAATTAATCTTAAATAAACACAGCTGAAGTGTAAGTATAGGTAAATATGAGGAAAAGAA